TCCAAATACCATTCCATTGGGAATTAGGGCTTCAACATGTGAATTTGACCTACAGTCCATAACACACATGTACAATGCCAAAAATCTTGGCATTGTTCTTCCCAGGACACAAAAGTCTATCTGAGGGGCACTTCCCTGGTGGTCCAGTGGTTAAGAATCCGCCTCCCAGTGCGGGGGACGTGGGTTTGATCTCTGGTTGGGGAGCTAATATCCCACATACTAAGGGGCAACTAAGTCCGCGTGCCGCAACTACTGAGCCCGTGTGCTCGGGAGCCCGCACGCCGCAACTAGAGAGAAGCCCTCACGTCACAACTAAGACCTGACATAGCCAAAAATAAATAAATAAATAAATAATAAAATAAAGGTCTACCTGAGATCAAATTATAAAGGAGACAAACTGTTTCTTTTGTGCCTACCTACCTTCTCTTCGGTGTGGGTGGTCATGAGGACTTCATTTGGGCTAGGCCCTAAGGATGGAATTTCTATAGTTGGCGACAGTGGGGTGGGAATTTCAGGTGAAGGGGAAAAAGTGAACAATTGCTTCTGGACTTATTTATATTCTTACGAAGGACTAAAAATTGCAGAGGCTTTTCTAAATGGAAAATTTTGGACAGGTAGGGTCTTGTTGTTTTCCAGAGGTCTTTCAGCATTTTTCACAGAGCAGTTAAGCCGGTTGTCTTTGCTATGTAAAGTACGGTGTTGACAGGGAAGGACCCAATTTTGAGCCTCATGTGGATCATGCGGCCTTACCCAGAGAAGGCGATTCTGCTCCTGTAAGCACAGGGAGTGCCTCACACCTGCCCGGACGTGGTGACAGACCGTGGTTGTGTCAGTGAAAACTCTCCCTACAACTGCAAAAATAACCCAACCCTTCAAAATATTCAAAGCACATTTCCTGCCCATAGTAGATTTGTAAAATCATCTCCTTGTCTTTTCTTTCTTGCTGCATCTCTTTTTTGTCTTGGTGAAGAACACTGCCCTCCCATCATACAGGGAAGTCGGTCTTCTAAACACACCAGGCCGACTCTCTTCCATCTCCGGTTCTTTCTGGGTGTGGGAGTGAAGAACAGAGAACAGTCCTCTTTCAGGGCAGCATCTGGAATAACCAGTACCAGATGCAGGAATGAATCATCATCCTCAGGGAGCCTGCCTGCATCCAAGCTGAAAGCGTCAATAAGGAAGGCTGGCTTTATCTACCAGCCGACTGCCTGCTATGTCACCAACAGATTCCCTTCCCAAAACTGTCATGTTTGCCACAGTGCCTGGAATTTCACAATGAGCTTCAATAACCGGCTTGTAAAATGTCATAGCTGGTCACTCGGCTCTTAGAAGCAGGGCTAGAATGCGTGCCCTGTGGTTTCCCATGAGCTGGCAGTGTCTTCATGGGGGGAGTGGGCTCACAAATGGTTTGTTTGGGACAACAAATTCATTCAACAGACATCTGTACTAACTGGCTGAGGGAGGGCCTTTCGCACGTGTCACCCACCCCTCTCATTTGACATGCTACCCTTGAAGGCTGGTATAGTTGTCTCTGTATCAAAAATGAAGGGATTGGGCTTCCCCGGTGGTGCAGTGGTTGGGAGTCCGCCTGCCGATGCAGGGACACAGGTTCGTGCCCCGGTCCGGGAGGATCCCACATGCTGCGGAGAGGCTGGGCCCGTGGCCTGCCCGTCCGGAGCCTGTGCTCCACAATGACACGGAGAGGCCACGACAGTGAGAGACCCCCGTACCGCAAAAAAAAAAAAAAAAAAAAAGAAGAGATTGAAGCTTCAACAGGTTTTGAGCACCTCTGTGGTGGCCAGGTGCCTGACCACGGCACCCCACTTCAGGTGCACCCGACTTCATTGCCTCTGGGCTTTTCCCCAAAGCCACTGAATCTTGGCAGCCCCCGGGTCTCCCAGAGGTGCTTGCAGGGCAGCCTCCAACCCTGGGGATGGCCTTGCTGTTTGGGTCTCTGTCAATAGGTTTAAGAAAGGTGCTGACCTGGGGAGAGGAGTTCCAGGCAAGCAACTGTTAGCTGAGACGTCAGACGTATAATGGAAATGTTCGTGATCGTCTCGGGTATTCAGTTATTATACTGAAAAAATTAGTGCTGCCTTTTACTAATGAGTAATTTGGAAGCTTTAATAAACTGTAGCCATAAACCCAGTTTATTATTAATAATCCAGTAATTAACCTTAGACACATTAATCTAATGTTAGAGATTTAACAAAAGGCAAAGGAACCTCTGTTTTGTGACTCTCCGTTCCATCACATGAGGGGCAATGGGGGATGATCTCAGGTGAATTTTTTTCCTTTGATGGCTCAGTATCTTTATCTGTAAAGAGGGGATAATAATGTAAACTATGCAACATTCATTCATTTCTTCATTCATAATTCATTCAGCAAATAGTCACTGAACCCTTAACTCTGAATCAGGCACATGCATGTTTCCAAGAGTAAACAAGACAGATAAGGATCTCCCTACTGTGGAGTTTACATTCTGTTGGGGATTCAAGAACTCTTCTGAGAAAAATAGCTGAAATGACACTGGCCAAGAAAGAGCTCCACAGTTCAAGACACCGAGACAGTTTAAACCTTAGTTAAAGCACTCTTTGCTATGTCTCGCTAGTTCCTAAGAAAAGCCTTCTAGGAACAAACACCAAATGCCTCAATAAAATGTTGATGAATAAAGGAATGCTCTTTGGAAGAGTGCAAGGTTTTAAAGCATTTCAGAGGGTCAGTGACCAGTGCTTTTCTCTTCATTTTGTGAAGAGCCCACTGGCTAAACCAAATCCACAAAGGACAAGGCAGCCTGCCTCTATCCAAACTCTTGCCTAAGAAGATGCTTAGCGCTAGAACCATCCCACTATTTCACCTTACTACATATTTGGAGTTGGGCTATCTTTATTTCTTCTCTGGAGTGAATATCTTATCTAACTATCTATCTGCCCATTTATCTCCTAATTTCAGCAAAGTCATCTGTCAGAGCCATTTAATTCCCCTGAGTGTCTTCTTTTAATCTGGAAGAAATTTTCTTTTAGTTACCCCTTATCACCGAGATCATGGATTTTACATACTTTGGCTGACGTCCCTGATTTATTTCATACTATATTTATATAGTAATAAATTATATTTGATCTGAAACACTTAATCGGGTTGTGCTTTTCTGCAGTCAACATTTATTTTTGCAATTGCTGTGAAAACCACATGCAACCAAGTTTCTAACAGCACAGAACACTTTCTATGTGACTTTCAAAGCAACCTTAAAGATGTTAATTAAATTTCAAGAATACATCTTTAAACATCACCCACCTTATTAAACAAGTCTTAGAGGTGAGAAAGTAGGATTCAGGTTGGTGTATTGAGCCTATATAAAATAGACTTATCTAGAGATAGAATAGTACCAAAAAAACTCAACCTCCTGGCCTCATAAATAGACCTTCAAATACTGTGCAATCCAGGCTATTATTTGGTGGCTTTTCCCACTGCTTTTCAATATGGTATGCTGATAACACTGTTGAGAGCAATATGTTTTATTGCAGAGCTTGTCACATTCATGGCATTCTAAAAATATTTTCTAAGGAATTCTGGGCCAGAAGATAAGGCCATCTCACATTTAAAACAGAACCCTGCAAGCTATTTCTATGGCTGTGTTCAGAATTATCCAAGTGCTTTATTGTTATTATTTGAGGCAACACTGGTTTATAACACTATACAAGTTTCAGAATTAGCCAAGTGTTACTTCAGAGCCAATGACCCTAAGTAACAGCTGAAATGCAGTTTTTTGTTTTAAATGTGGACATTTAATTCTCACCTGAGACCTGTTACAGTCAAATCTGCCAGAGAGTAAAGCAGATGAGGGCTCTGTATAATTTTAATCGTTGTGCTCTGGGGCACACTTCAAAATGGCCCAGCTGACCTGCCTACGAAAACTTTCTGCCGATCTTCAGTTGGTTTGCAAACATCAAGCTGCCTAGAGTTCTCGTGATTTCTGAGATTCCAAGAGAAAGCAAAGGCCCGGCGGCCGGCTCGGGGAAAACGTCTTCACCTGCAAAAGCAAAACGAAGTGCAGGTGCACCAGCCCGCCGGCCCCAGATGCCTGCCGGCAGTTCTGCACTCCCTTGT